ACATTATAATGGGCACCGCTGTGTGGAAGAGGGGTGGGGTGTGCCCACAGCATGCAGAGCAAGCAGGACACAGGAGGAAGAGTTGAAAGAAGTGTGGAAGGTCAAGGAGACATACCCCGGTAATTACTTTAAAAAAGAAAAAGCTTCAGATACATATGCATATATAATTTCTGCCTATGCGAAATGTAGGGAGAGGCTAGGACCACTGGGGACTGGGAAATGTATTTGTATATAAGGAATTGTATACAGGGAACCCGGTTACTCAGAAATCCCTGTCCCTAAGCTCCGACCGGGGCAGTCAACACTCCCTCTGCTGTCTTGGGGACCCAGAAGAACTCCTTAGCTTGCTGGCGCCCGCTGGGGACCACATGGGGCCACTTCCAAACAAGGCTGCCTACACTGAGCAGGCCCTGCAGCATGAAGGTTTACACCGAAATGTACTTGGCTTTGGGCCATTTCATCTTAATATCCTTAAGGAGAAGCGTTATAAACACAAGGCCAAGACCCTGGACATGTAGAAGGGTTGGGAGAGCTGTTAATACCAAGTTTGTCTATGGCTGCTCTGGGAAGCTGGCCAGGTCCAGGTTAGTGACATTCCACGGGCCTGAATTGGGAATCTTCACACAAGCACAAGCCTCCCAGACTTCTAGGGCAGTTTTGTCTGCAGAAGGAATGAAGGATGGCGCAGGGCAAAGGCACTAGCTCCAGCGGGTGGCCTGCAAACACTTAGTTCTGGGCCAGTGGCATTGCTTGTTAGCAGACAATGCCTTCAATGGACATACACCAAGAGAGCAGGAGCAGACCGGTGACAGGAAAATCCCCAAACAGGAAGTCATGCTTTTTTAAAGATTCTATTGTTTTGCTTTTTTTCCCCAAACAAAAGCAAAGCCAGAAGTCTATGTTAGGAACAGTTTTAAATATAAAAGAACAGAGGCCAGATTGCCCCTTGACACGCTGAAAGACTTGCTTCTGAGGGATCTTGGGGACTAGTGCCCCTAAGACCTGGGGACCAGAAGTAACCATAGTCCAGGTCAGAAAGCCGAGGGTGGGTGAGTACGGGGGTGGGGGTTGGGGGGGTGGGGGGGTAGAGATGGGCTGGGAATGGGGACTGGCTCTAGCTCCCTGATTTCCCAGTAGTCCTCCTCCCTTTCCCCTGCAGGGGGCAGCAGAGGCCTGAATAGTCCTCAGCCCTGGGTGGCTCTCACAGCTTTGCCACATGGCTTCCTCCATGTAAAGGGAGAGCAGCATGATGACAGGAAAGATAGGAGATTGTGCTTGGTCTCCAGCTGTATCACTGCCTGTGGTGTCTGTCCGTTTCTGCTTCCAGGGGGAAGTTGAATCTCTGGCCCCCAGTCAGCTGTTCCTGATCGCAGTGCCACAAGGCAGACTTGCAGGTACAAGCTAGGAGAAAGCCTGGGTCTCCATGCACTGGCCTGGCCAGCTTGCTTTCCGCCTCACCTTCATCTGTCATCGAGGGAGCAAAGACTCTGGCAACAGCAGGTTTCAATGGTTGGAATAATGGTGGGCTTTTTTTTGGGGGGGGGGCAGGGGCGTTCTCCACACAGGTACTCATTCCTGATTTGTTTTAGCCATGGGGAAGAGGGTTTGTTTGCTTTGCACAGCTGTTCTGGGGTTCATATTGCTACTGGACAATGGCACAGCAAGTCTTTCTACCCCATGGGCTTCTTTGCCAGCATCCTCACTTAGCATGTCCTTAGCTTTAGCAGCCAAGATTCCCATCAAATTACCACTATTATTACCAAGGTGATAACAGCTGCCCTCTGATGGGCAGGTGCTGAATCTGAAATGGACCAATCAAGGAGCAGCCCTCAGGCTGCTTTTGGTGTAGGGCAATGAGGAGTTGGTGGGGGGGGGGGGGAGAAAGAGAAGAGGCAGAGGCAGACACAGAGAGGAGCTTCTCTAGACAGAGAGAACATTCCGGTAGGAAGAACTGCTTCTATGGTAAAGGTATTCAGAGCAGCTGGTGAATGCACTAGCCCTGCATACAGCTGTCACTACTCTCATAGCTGAGACATCTGTTCCCTGTGCTCCTGGAGTCACCTCTCTCTTGTCTAGTCTCCAGCCCTGGCCCCTGCTCTGCTGACATTACACTCACTCCTCACACACCTCAGTTCTGACTTGGACATGGGGCTGTTTGGATGCCAATCAAGAAACGCTCTGCAGCCGAAGGTAATGGGGCTCAGGTGGAGCTGTGCTTTGAGCAGGCTTCTGGGTTCTGGTTCTTCCCAGTGGCTCTCCACACCCTTGCCATCCCTCACTCATCCAAGGCCCCATGTTTGCTCCAAACCCCATAGACTCCTGCACAGGGGTAGGGAAAGAAAGGAGGAAGGTATAGGGCCAGTCCTTATGTATAACAATTGATAAAGAGTATCTGGGAACAACCCTCTGCACGCAGACCTTTATCACTCAGTGGCTTGGAAAAGTCACATTCCCTACTGACTCAGAATCTACATCCAACTGGAGATGAGTAAAGCAAGGCCCATGTGTCCTATGCAGGTATGAGTTATTTATACTCACGGTGTCTGTGTCATACAGGTGTTATTATCACTCCCACTTTGTAGGGGAGGCAAACCCAGCTGTAATTATAAACAAAGAAACAAACAAACCAAAACAAACTACACACACACACACACACACACACACACACACACACACACACACCTACCTCAATTTGGATTGTCACCGATTCTATGAAGGGCAAAGCAAATGGGTATAACTTAGAGTTTTGGAATAAGATCATCTCTGTACATAACTTCTGTTGGCCATCGTTCAATTCCTGTAGTCCACAGGGAGTCCACTGTGTACTGGGTGGAGCTGGGAACCAGAACAGCCTCCAGGCAAGAAGACTTTTTAGCCTTTGCCTCTTCTACCTGTTAGGGTCGTCTCTCAGAGGAGACTGTCTTCTTCCCCTGCCCATTTTAAATGCTCAGAACCTTCCAGTTGTCTTAATCCAAGAACCACCAAAACATGTCCTTACCTTAAGGTTTTGGTGGCTCAACTTCCCATCAAATTGCCACTATTGTTACCAAGCTGATAGGTGTTTTGGGTGTCCTCTGATTGGTAGGTGCTGAATCTGAGAAGGGACCTATGGAGGGCTCTCATGCCCTTCTGGAATTTGTCAGTTTGGTGTAGAGCAATGAGGGGTGAGAGAGAGAAAGACATAGAAACACACAGAGAGGCATACAGACAGAGAGACACACAGACAGGAGCAGATTCCTCAGGAAATCACGACGACAGCTATGACAGCGGCAATCACTGTATGCAGGTGCTGGTGCTTTGGCAAACTTTACCAGCCTTCAGAATCAGGGCCTCATCTCTAGTTTCACAGCAGCACTCCCACAGCCAGCTGTCCCCACCATATGACAAACATCTGCACTTTGCCAGCGCTATAGATCTGGACCCTTGGTGGCTCACATGTGTAACCTTAGGACTTGGGAGGCTGAGGCAGGAAGGCTGCCTTGACTGAGTCTGAGGCCAGCCTGGGCTACCGAGTAAAACTTTGTTTCAAAGAATTACATACCAGAAAAAAAATTGTGAAGGACCTTGGAACCATAAATGTGAAAGTGGTTAAGATAGAAAACGTTATACATTTTGAAAAAGAGAATAAAAGTCAAACGGAATAGAAAAAACCATGGACCTCAAATTTCTGAAGCTCACTGTTTTTCCTGTCGTCATGCAAGGATAAGGGTTACCTGGGACCAGAGCTACCCCACACTCATTTTAACCTTAAACATAACTGAGCTAGCTACCATCAACCAACAATTGGAGATTTCACATGAAGCTCCAAAATCTTCCTTCTCTGGAAGCTGTCTGCCATGTGGAACCATGCTGCTAAGGCAAAACAGCTGGGGAGACTTCTTTAGTTTGCCATGGTCCTTCACTGTGTATTGTCTTTTGTTCTATAGTCTGCCATTTGCTTAAGTTTCCCTTAACTACCTGATACACTCACACTGTCTAGACATTGGATTGCTGTAGACATCCGGAGTTCCTATAGATGTCTGGGTTGCCTGACACTCTTGTACTCTCAAATATTTGTATTTTCAATGTTTGATTAAGAGTGGTGGAAGTTTCTTTCTCCCATTAAATGAGTGTAAGACAACAAAAAGCTGGTTAAGCCTGGGGCTCTTTGATGGTTTTGGAGGATTATTTAGCTACCTCACATACAATTTACTTGGCTGCTCCTTCCATCTCTGATCAGGCTCTTCTAGGTCTGCCCGGTGAGCCAGGAAGGTGGGAAGAGGGTAACCTATGGAACCCTGCACCACCCTACACAGACCATGTCTAAGGCCTTCTCAGACCAGGTTGTTCCTTGGGCTTCCTTCCCTTCACGTCCTAAGTTTGCTACTATGATGCCTGCGTCCTGAACTGACTCCACACCCTCCCAACACTGATTTCTGGCACCACAGAATCAATATTATCCATGATGATTTCTATCTGGTATCTTGGAATATAACTGTATTCTTTGGTGTAGGCCACATACCATTTCTGAATATTCTGGCCCCGCCAAAATCACTAGAATGTGTCTCCTGTCACACATAGGATACCAGGATGGAGGAGTGGAGAATCCTCAAATCCCATGTTCTAACTAATCTGCCAAGAAAAGAAAATGCACATTGAGTGGCAAGCTTCCCTTTGAAATCCTGATGCTGTATACTTTTACCCAAGCTGAAAGCTCTGCCGAGTGAGCTAGGAGTCCAGAGCTATTGCTTTTATAGCTCAACAGCCTTTAAAATAGTTGCCCTGGAAAAGCAGAGATGTCCCTGTCTGCCTGCCGGCTGCGCATGAATTCCCCATGGTGATTTGGATGAAGGGGAAAGTGTGGCAGGGCAGATAGAGGAAAGCCCAGGAAAGCTGCAGAGCAACCGAGGGATCAGGCCACAGGGCAGAGGAACCATGATGCAGCCTCACCCACATGTGACACATGCCTAAGCCACATGTGTAGAAGGGGAACTGGTGGGTCGGTAGGAGTCTGTTCTCACCGTGGTGGTCGTGCTTCCCAGAAGCAACAGCAGCCCGGGCAATAAAGTGTGCAGAGTCTGCAGCCTCCTCTGGGGAGGGATTTTTACTCAGGACGATGAGATGTGCCTGTCACCACAAAGAGAAGAAACAAGTTGTTTACATGCTTGGCAGCAGCAATAGGAAACCGTCCTAGCAGTGATAAGCAGGAAGCCAAGGAACTTTCCAGCAAGCTGGAAGGGATGATTGATGAAGACAGGCATGCAATTGACTTTGGGGGATTTGAAAAACACTGGGTGGAGAACCCTGGTTGCAGAAACCACTTGGCTAGAAAACGTTGCTGGAGGCAATCCCTGAAATAAACCCTTTAAAAGCTTATAGTCATTTGACTCAGCAAAGTCGACCAAGATGGGGGTTGGGGATGGGGTGGCTGGTGGGTGTAGGGGAGGTGAGGTGAGGTTTCATTCTAGAAGTGAAAAGGACTAATGAGATTCACAGGAAGCAGGCAAGTCCAGCTCCTGGCCTATTGCTTAGCCAGACTGCAGCTCATACCTGCAGAGGTGCAGCCTGCTGTCTGATCACCAAGCCCACATGCACCCTTTGCAACGAGGCCCATGGGAGCTGCCTCAGCATGGAGAACTGCTCAGGTTCTTTGTAACAAAGTTAATTTTAAAATTGCTCAAATAAAATACAATGGTATCCTATAAATACAATAATAAAAATCTTTTCAAATAAATTATCAAATATATACTGTCAAATGTTACTAATCATCTCCCTGTTAACATTTCCAATTGAAAAGATTGGGACCAGAGAGATGGCTCCATGGTTACGAGCACATACTTTTCTTTCAGAGGACAGGAGTTTGATTCCCAGCACTGACATCAGGCAGCTCAAAAGTGCCCGGAACTCTAGCTCCAGGTTACCTGACACATAGACAAACATACACACACCCACATTTGTGTAGGTGGAGGGTCTGTTCTCATCTTGTGTGTTTTGCACACACAGGCACACACACACACACACACACACACACACACACACAAATAAGTAACCATTAAAATTTTAAAATACTGTGAGTAATATGTTTACATCCCTCCAATAATCACTTGAAGAATGCCTACTGGACAAGCTGTGGACAGCCAAGGAAAGCTGGGCTAAATGTTGCAAACTGATAATACACTCAGGATAGTGGGCATTTTGGGATTATTGCCAAAGAGCGCGTATTCGTTGGTTTTCTTATTCTTGTGACAAAATACCTGACACCATCAGCTTACTCTAGCTGACAGTTTAACCGTGGATACAGCTGTCATGGTGGGAAGGGATGGTGGCAGGAGTGCAAGCCACGCACGCCGTCGGTCACATTGTGCTTCCGTTGTGAAGAAAGAGGAGGTGCTGGTATTCACCGGGCTTTCTCCTTTTCCCCTTTCTACCCTGCCCAGGACCCTACTGTGCGGGAGGGAGCCAACCACATTCAGGATGGGTCTTCCTGCTCACTCTCCAGAAATGCCCAGAGGTGCAACTGTTAGGAGTCTACATCCAGCCACATTAACAATGAAGATTAAACCTCACAGAGCCACAAGGCAAGGAAAACACTAGTCTGGGCAGGCAGAAGATGACAACCACCCCAGAGATTTAAGTTGTACTTTAGTTATTTCTCATTTGCAACACAACACTTGATTTTGGGGATACTTTCTGTGATCTTCAATTTATATATGAAAACCAAGAGTGCTGAATGAGTCTGCTGGGAGCTACTGAGAGGCAGAGAAGCTGTAAAAGAGGCAGGGCCTAGTAGGAGATCTTAAATCAGTAGAAGCCCTCTGAGAGGGAATTAAGGGACCCCAGGCTCTTCCTCCCTGAGGCGAGTACCATGAACTCTAGCTTTCAAAACAGTGGCCCAAACAAGCCTGTCTTCTCATTTCAGTGGATAGTCTTCAGATACTACAATGGAACACCGACAGGGCAAATGGTCCAGATATCTCACACTAAAGGTTGGAGGTAAGCTCTGGCTTTGATATGCCAAGGACTTCAAATTCTGCTTGCTGTACCATGTCCTGAATGCTGTTATTCGTGCATCGGCTACACTGATGGCAGCACATTGGCAGTAGTGATGGCTTGAGAAGCAAAGCTGTCCCAGTAGGGCCTTCTGACCTGCACCAAGCAGTACTCACGCCTCTGAGTGTGTCTCTGAGATGACCAAGGCAGAGGGAATCCTGCAACACTAGAATGCCTTGTTTGTTAAATCTGAATCATGGGTTAAAATCGGGCTGCCAAAGCTTGGGCTTGATGGCCCCAGCCACTCCTGCTAGCAGAGGCTTTTGCTGCTGTGTTGGAACACTCAGGAGTTCTTTTCTCATTACTGGAATTCTTTAGAAAGAATTGAACAAGGGACCCAGGGAAGCCCAGAGGAGTCACCAGTTTCAAATTGGTACAAGAAAAGTCTGTTTTTAAATTCTGATTTGAAATATTACTGAAATAATAGGTATTTCAAAATACAGTTTCATGGATGTTCAGATTACAGAGCTAAAGGGCAGAATCAAGCTGTCAAGGGTTCAGTGTTTGTATGAAGAAAAGAAGCAGTAAGCCTGCCCCCATGTGGGCAGGCTGTGCATCCCCCTGGCTATCTACCCCCAGGGTCCACTACTGGAGAGACTTCTGCAGGGTTCTCTGCAGGCTGCTTTCCTGGGCACTTTACAAAGACTCAACACACCAACATTCGCTGTTTGAGACCAAATAGAACTCAAATGCAAAGAAGATTTTCTGTTTCCTTCCTGCTCACTATCATACCCAAGGAAAGGCAGTAAATCACATAATTACATGTACTGAAAGGATCACAAGCTGCTTTCTGACTGGAGGCAGAAAAGTGACACTTTCTAGTCACAAAGCAACAGCAATAAAACACCCACTTACAATATTAAGTAAATAAGTCCAAAAGGCTTTGGGCATAGGTTCTCACCCCTCCTGATGCTGCAACCCTTTAATATAGTTCCCCATGTTGCACTGACCCCCAACCATGAAATTATTTTTGTTGGTACTTCATAACTGTACTTCATAACTGTAATTTTGCTGTTGTGATCATAATGCAAATATCTGATATTAAGGATATTTGACATGTGACCCCTGTAACAGGGTTGTTCAGCCTCAAAGGGGTCAAGACCCACAGGCTGAGAACCACTGGCTTAGGGGCTATGAATTTATCACACAATTTTCTAACCTTAACACTTTCCTATGTGGCATGTTCGTATTGTGCAAGCAAACACTGAGCATTTGTTTCATAAGTTCAGCTTCTGATCTACTTAGTGTGCAATAACCTTTTTAAAGCTGCATGCTGGAGGGAGTGAGGAGTAGTGCTGAGCACCCAGGGTGTTTAAGATGTGTCAAATTAGCACCTCATTTATTCAGTAAAAATTCCATTCATTTCAGCTTAGTCTAATTTATTCCTATTTGGCTCAGTGTTATTTTAATTTTGAAGTGCTTTCTACTTGCCAGATATTGTGCTAACACTAGGAGTTCGCACACAAAAATATCAAGCTGGTTTCAGTTCTAAAGGAGATCACAGATGAACCACAAAAATATGGGGTGCTTGGATTTGTGCAGACATACAGACACTTCCACGTTGTTTGTACTCAGCTGACTTTCTCTCTATGTCCCAACTGTTATAATTTTTGGTAGGTATTAAAAGGAAGGAAAAGTGGTACTTGTATACAGGTTAACCAGTAGAATGATCTTGTGTTCTGGTGTCCAACCCGAAGGCCAAGGCCTTTACTAAACGCCAGAAGAACAAAGAGGGGACATTCTTTGTAAATGAGTGGTAAGAAAAGAATAGCAACTTTTAGCACCCTGGTGACTCATAGGGAGGATCTGGGGAGCCCCCCTCCACTTTCCCTGGTCCAGGCTGTGTGACTGTCAGTCATAGAACTGTGATCCTGACTGCATCCGCCTCGTAGGGTAGGGTAGGGTAGGGTAGGGTAGGGTAGGGTAGGGTAGGATAGGGTAGGATAAGATAGGATAGGATAGGATAGGATAGGATAGGATAGGATAGGATAGGATAGGATAGAATAGAATAGAATAGAATAGAATAGAATAGAATAGAATAGAATAGAATAGAATAGAATAGAATAGAATAGAATAGAATGCATTAAAGCAACAAGTGTCCCCACTCACACGGTGCCTCTCCGACATTTGACAGACTCCTTTCCTCTCTATGCTATGCTTGACTGCCTAGGGTTCTGTTTGCACCCTTGATGTCAGAACTTGTTACTCACTGACACCACGAGTTCACAGGTTCTGGAGCTGCGGCCCTATTGCATCTAGATAGCTTCTAGTGTCTACTCGAGTGTTCCCATGAGCCCTCTCATTTTCTCCCTTCCCTTCAGAGTGCGGCACCCATCGTCCATCAAGAAACCGTCAACCCCACACAAGCATAATTTAAGATGGTGAAAACGGGGATCCTTCTAAGTGTCTGTTAATAGGGGAACAAGTGTATTTTGGTTTATCAGTATGGCCATTTATCTCTGTGGACATATATTAACCTGGTTACATTTCAGAAAGACAAAAGAGGTGGCTTGCAAAGGGCTGAAAAGACGCCAAAGTACCGGTGATTTTCAACCCTCTTTTCCTTCTTATCCTGCACAATTCCTCATCCACGGTTCTCTGGCACTTCTCCCCCTGAAGCCGGTGGAGCAGCCTGGACGCCTAACGCCCTGTCCCCACTTCCTCTCTGTGGGACATGAAGGAGAGGTCTGAGAAGGACAGCATGTGGGTCCCCAGGGGAACAGGAGAAGTACCTGAAAAGGCTGGCGATTTTGCAGTCCTGTGGAACTCAAGCACAGCCATGACTTTAGGACAAGGCTAAGTGAAAAGGTGAATCACAGCCCCTCCGCGTGTGAGCAAGAGCACTGGAAGGCAAGGAAGCAGTGACCACAATGACAAGAGTCCTGCTCGCCTCTGTTGCCTTCCACAGCGCTGAGGCGTTGACCCCCATGGACGCTCGGAGCGGCCATTAGGTCAACTTCTTCACCTCATTATTAGTCTCCTCAGGGAGGGGCACCCCTGTCTCCTATTTATTTATTTACTTATTTATTTTTGTTCTTCAGTATCCTGTAGTGAAATGCTTATCAGCTGTCATCCTA